TGTTTTACTACTTCGTTAAAAGAATTCTTCTGCAGCTAAAACTTGGATAAATGATTAGTGCAAAGAAAACCAAGCACTTCATTTGAATATACGATTAGTTTCCTGTTCTCTACATCTTTTTCTTTTCGATAGATACCTGATATCGTAAATAGTTTCTATGTTAATTTTCTAAAAGAACATATTGAGTGTACCAATAACATATTCGAGCTGAAAAAGATAAATGTAAGTTCGTTGTTACACAAGCACATTTCGGAAACGGATTTCCGAGACTGGTCACAGATGTCTTAATCCTGGGAACAATCCGCACGTGTCAAAAGGCGTATCATCATCACACGTCGGCCGTTTTTCGTTTCGAATTTCAACGAAATGTGCGGCGGAGTCATATTATTATAGCGCGACGAAAGAATATCGCACCTTATCACTTCTCCCCTTACGTATAAGGCCTGCCATTTCGACAATACAGATGATCTCTGAAGCCTGCTGAGCCATTTTTACAGGAAAAAGTTTCACATTCACCCCGACTCACTATGAATTAGAATGCCTCTGTGAAACACGTATAGCGTTTGAAAATTTTCATCTTGAACCGTACCGATCTCGATACAAAATTTCTTAATATTTTTTGCGTACGTTTCATATAGAAAAATTACATAAGAAAACCGCTGCAGGATTCGTAACGTAAAGTATTGATAAACTCTAATTATAAAGAAATGAAACAATTAATTAATGCATGCTCTCACTCTTTCGAAAATAGTAAAACTAGAATTGTGGAAATAGTAAAACTAGAGTTGTGAAAATAGTGAAGCTGGAATTGTGAAATAATCACGCTTCTAGAGGGGTTTAATTTTCCAAACCCCATCGCATTCCCCTTAGCAGTTTTTAGACGAACAATACTGTTTTCCACTATTTCAGCTTAGATTTTTGCAAAAATTATTTGGTGCTCTTTTAGTTTTTAAGGTTCGTCCGATCAAAAGTTACGAGTATCGATTTAACATTACACCAGATTTGATGAGGGCCAGTGTCCCTCGTGTCGAATTATTTCAAACACAAATCTCTTGTCGTTACCCTGATTCAAGAGAAAGTAAACGAGTGTTTCCCAACATTTGGAAAATCGTTCAACTTTGAAAATAAAAATCATTGAACTAGAAAATACTAGGTATCCAGAATGTTGTAGTAAACAAACAACTTTTCAAAATAGCTTATTTTTCTTCCCCTATTTTACATCTTATTCTTTTTTATCAGTCTCTATTTTTAGTCAAAAAGCTACTACTGTTGCCACTAAAATAACGAAGACAAATATCGGATTAGACCTTTGACCTTTGAATTTGAATGTCTCTTCAAAAAGAAGTAGGATTTAATAATAGTTTAAATATTAGAACATAGGAGACTATGGTGTATGGAAATAAAACGTTCAAATAAATTCTATTTGATAACCCTGTATGTAGGTACCTACATGTATGAATATTATGAAGTGCGGAGAGGTGCTTAAGAGGTAATTTAAAAATAAATTTATTTAGCATCGCGCTTACTGAAACATATACATACTTTTGCGTTTAATAGGTACACAGAATTTACAGCTAACAGAAACATGATAGAACATTTTAACGTCTATTTTTATATTAATATCTTCAGTTTATCGTCTTTCTTAGGCATCAAAAGTAAACTTAATAAAATACCTAGTGCGATGTTCCCAATACCTTCACAAAAGCATTAACGGGGGTTCTTCCAGGTTTTTACTATTTATTTATTCAAATTAGTTTTATTTTGAAGAGAAGTCTGAAACTTTTAACTACTTAACATATTAGTACGAATAAAGGTATATATATCTTCATATTGAAATAATTAAACAAATTCTTTCATTCCCAAAAAGAGTCTGTTAATATTTACCATCTGCCTACTCACGTATTAAATGATGAAAAGCATATTTTCCGCTCTATAGTTCAACGATTTAAAAGCGAACTTACGCGCTGACGCCCTTAAACGCGGTGCTTTACAAATAAAAATTTCGTAAAAGCGCACCCAAAGAACACACATCGGTTCGTTATATTTACGACTACGCCTTTAAAAAATCGGATACTTATGTACATTATAGCATACCTACCTACCTACCTACCTACCTACCTACCATCTACAGGTACTGAATTTAAAAGCTCTCAGCTTACCAGCCAGCCTCTATTAGGGGTGATTGACAACCAAAGAAGCTTTATCAACCGTAACATGACATAAAGCACGAATAGTTTTCTCTTTTCATTGCACTCGAGTTCTCTAGCTGATTTCGATTTTAGGATTTATAATGAAATTTCTACGCCAGCATTTCTCTTTGAAAATCATCAGCAGCGTGGCATGTGGCGTGACTTCCGATTGTTGAAAACAGGAAATTAACCGGAGCATTAAAATTAAAAGAGTTTTCCTCTTACACTGCTTTTGTTGTTGTATTGAAAGTTTTCCCGGCTCCAATTTACGCAACTATATTGTAGATGGAAGTAGTTGAAGGCTGCATTTTTTAATTTCCGGGAAGATTCCCTTACTCGTCATTAAACTTATTCATGCACATGCGAAAGTGAACTAGAAAAATAATTAACGAAGAAAAAGTCGCGTGAACCGTTGTTTAACTTTAAGATTTTTATTTAAAGACACTTCTTTACCTACACTGCAAAATTATCCAGTGTCCAATACATTACCCATTTCTTTGGTCCGCGAACTTCCTGTAATCACCTCGGCATATATTGTAGAATATTAGTTTTCGAATCGCATTCAATTAAATAAAATTTAAGTAAATATATTAGATTTCGATAAATTACCAACGAATTAAAGTGTTACGTTTGCACTGCGCTTTGAAACTTATCTAAATGCAAATGGGAGTTTATTTTAATGTTAAGGTGAGCGTTCGACATGAACGAATTAATTAAACGTTCGAGCCTTCTACTAAAACTGTTGCAGAGACGAACAAAGTCTTCGATCGGAAATGTATCATTCTAATCTAAACTGAGAAATCAAGTCGACCTGGAGAAAATTAATTGTTCGGATTAGTGCCAGTGTAAGGCATATAAGCACTTACTCATCTGAAACCTAAGAATATCCGGCATAATGCAATATCATTCAATTTATTTGCTGTACTAGGCTCCAGGGAAATCGGGAAAATATATCTATCTCTCCGCAATTTCTTCATCATATAAATTAATCGTCTTAGATTTCACCTTGACCCCACAACAGGTTTCGGAATCTGTCGGAAATTGAAGGATCTCACCATGATTAAATTTCTAACATCCTTAAATCTTGTTCTTACCGCTAAAAAATTCCTTCCCGTCCATTTTAGCTTCCATTTCGACAGAACATCGTTTTATTAGATATTGGTACAAAAATCACGTTCTAACTTAGTTAAGTACTTATATAGGTACCTAGTACCAACATCCCACTTCCTTACTCATTTGGGAATTGTAATTTAAAATAGGCCTTCCTTTGCCGCACTTTATACTGCTGTTTCTGCTTTTGTCTCTAACTAATAACCCTTGATAGCAGCATTTATTAGGATACATTGTACATGTAGATAAATGTATTCGCTGTACCGCATCAGATTCTGCTTATCAAATAGCACATTTAAAACATCATTTACATTACTATAAACAGATCCATTAACGATTAGCAGTTGTAAAAGAATTGCCATCTTAAGCACATCTTCGTAAATGGTAATTTTAAAAATAGAAACTAGATAGATTTAGAGAATTTAGAGCTGAATCCGATTTATTTTGCAAAGCTTTTCGACAGACGGAATTACGCCTTAATTCAAGTAAACAAAACTGCGAAAGTAGCGAGTAAGGAGTAAAATCTGCTCGGCAAATAATATGAACACACAGACTAATAACAAAACGGGCTTGTCTTCGTAATTTCACTAGCTATGAAAAGATGGTTCGAGCACCAAAAAACTTTTACTTTTTATTACTTTTCGAGCACGTGCCTCGAACACAGCGATACTTTGAAATGATCGATCGATATCTACTTCTATTTGCAGAATCCCTGTTTTCAGTTCCAAAACAAAAAAGGGAAACTAAAAGCAATATCAGTTTTAAAAATTAAACCATAAAAGTTAGTAAAACCGAAAATTTAAATTTGTTTTTGAAAGGAAATCTTCAAACCACCTTTTACCCAAACACTCGAGAACGCTGCAGTTGCAGAAAATATTTAGAAAATATACCTTCTAAACTATTATCCGCCATCAAACTATTATTAGTTGGTAAATGAAAGCATCTAAAAAAGGGAGTATTTGTGTCAGGTGTAGAATTTCAGTCTAATAAGCATAACTGAGCCAACCATTTCAGGCACTTGAATACCAAATGAGTTATTGACACATACAGTAAATTCTCATGTTTGAACTGAATATTGATTTCAAACTTAACGTAAATTGCTAGGTGTATTGGTAGGTATCTTAACTGGGAAAGCAAGAAGATGAGAATTAATTACTGGAAAACTACTGCATTTATTGCATTTCAGACAACAATACATTTTTAATTCTGTAGTTAAACGATTAGAAATAGCCCGGTAAAAAGTACTTTATAATAAACAACAAATGTAAAACGATGATAGAAATGAGCCTTGCAGTCATGCAATTTAGCGGTTGACTTATCTACATATGTATTCTATATGCATCTATTTTTGAATTAAATTACAATTTCAAATGAAGCAAATTACAATACCACCATCATAGAAAGAGTATTCAAAAAAAGGTAGACAGTGAGGTTCCAAGTTCCGTTTTACAATAAACTTTTATATAGCTATCCTTTCGCGTGTCAGTAAGCAGTCCTGTACGCAATTTTTTCAGAAAGGAAAGGTAGATTGGATTTAGAATGGTGAGTTAGGGATGCAGGTAAGTTGATGGCGACAGATAGAGAGAGGGTGAGGATTGTTAGGGTGCGCTTGCGTCGGGGGTATCGAGTGCGTCCAAAGGAAAACCAGACGTGTCTCACTGTTTTCCGAGCCGTGGTTGTAAACGCACGCAACCGATTTAGACCCGATAGTGTCGTTGAAATGTCAGTTTTTCCGGAAAAACTACAACATTAATTACTGTTTTATTAATTTATAGCACACACGTAAGATAGGAATCGTTTTCCGAGATCGGTAACGCGAAACCACTTCCATTTAGCCCCTCGAACTGTGGGTCTAATTGCGTGTTTAGCATCTCGCTCTCTCTCTACCCCAAGACTTATTAACCAAACTGAGACACACATGTATTAAAGTGATGATGTAAACTTCAAGTGGCGATTTTATCAGAAGTGGAAAGGGTGCCAAAATGGATGAGTATAGTCCCAAACCTCCTCCCCTACCCAGGAGGATTGTGAGGAACATATATGCAGAGCCTTTTAGTCACGAGACAGTAAGGTAAATGCTGGCGGTTTTACAACCAAGTTGTTCAACGCAAAAGTTTTCCGATAGCCGCCGAAGGAAGTGCGGTGACAAAATATAAACAAGGGTTCAATAAATTTTAATGCGCTCGCTCAATTTCCAAGTCGATGATCCTCCATCGTGTCGACGTTAATGGAATAAACAGCGCTAAAAACTCATCCAAGATAATGTGTCAATTTCTATTCATAAGCTACAAAAATGAACGAGGGAATTCATAGCAATCAGTGAAGACAACAAAATAGCTTTTCTTAATAAGTAAACGTTCCTTCTACTACCAGCCCTACATACCAAAATTTCAAAACTGAAAACAGTTTTTGTACGGTCAATATGACCGACGAGAGGACGGTTATCTATAAAAAAAAAATAAGGACATGATTAGAATCGCAACGGAACACTTTAAAATATTTTATGAATATTTTTATAACCAAAAAGTTAATGATCAATAAAATGAGTTGAAACTGGGTATTTTGATAAGAAACTTTTAAAAAACTGAGTATGTAGGTACTTACCATCAATGCTCAGGAGAGCATGTTTCAATTTTTTCTCAATTAATGTGCTCTTATAGGTCTACCTGATATTACTTTTACCACATATAATCCATCATACCATTTTAGACAACTCGCGAAGAAATTCAATTTCACTTTTTCCCAGTACATATATAAGAAAACGTAGGTAGGTAGGTACATCATCTGTCAATAACGTTTACGTTAAACTTGTTATACATAATACGAAACAGAAATGGCTTATTTTATTCAATTGATAAGCAATCTTGAAGAATATGTCTTCTAGTTCGTCATAAATAATTTCGTATGTGCGCATCCGCGGATGTATAGACAAGAAGTAAGAAAACCTAAATAAGTTGTTTGGAATCATCACCGTCACCAGATTGAAAAATTGAGTGCTTAGGGGGATGTGACACTGCCTATACTTTTAATATTAATTAACAACCCATTCCAGTGGAAATTTCCCCTTCGAACAATAATAAAATAATTTTCCGTGTAGGTACCTATCTGCAACACCTGTCTCGTTGCGAATACGAAGCAACCGTCGGAAAACGTGCCAGCTAATAAGTGTAGGAGACTTTTAAAAAATTCCCTGCGATAATGTTTCAATTTCTATTCATGGCACAAATGGAACGAACGGCTTTGAGTGAAATGTTTTCTTTCGGAAATTTAAATGGGTCGTGCCCGCCCGCATGAACCTTCGAAAGCATTTGCGGAAACGTGTGCGTGAAGTTCACATCCCCGTCACAAAGAGAACGCTTGTTTTTATTCCTTTTAAACGGCTACATTAATTTCCACCGCCTTTGGCCCAGACATGAAAGTCACTGAGTGCCTACCAACTCGTTACGTTGCTTGCCGCTAATACAACTAGACACTTTCGGTTTGGGCTTTGTAATTTCACGCCTGATTAATAGCCGCCAGTATTGGAAATAATTAAACCCAGATGCTCTACTCGCTCTACAATTCCGCAGTCAACTTTTATTAAATACTGCATAAATAATCAAAACCTACTCGGATTCTTATTCCTTTGCTACTTCATTATTAACTGTTACTTCTCGAATCTTTGTCTTGCACCTACAACATAATTATTAACTGAATTTTTCACCGTTTCATTTTTTTAATTTATTCTGTTGTCCGATAGGTTGTGATAACTTCAGTTTATGCTAATAAACATAACGATTCAACTGACAAGTGTTTCAAAAGGAATTGCATCAAGCAGCGTCTGTGCCAGAACCATTTGCATATTACTTGAGAACTACTTTAAATTAAATGACTGAAATAAATTCATGTTACTTTACTAAGTACCTGCCTACCTACTCTTGATATTAAGAAGATCATTTCTGACGATGAATAATGCATTATCTTGCAAAGCATCTGTTTAGGAGAAAGTAAACTACAGAACTATTATTTCTAATCGAAATCGCACAGTAAAACTTTAACAAGTAACCATTGTTATACCTCTCGATACTGACAGGCATTTAGGTTCATTCTAGGTACTTTCTTCAAGCAAATCGATTTGCTGTATACTTATGCGAAAATGTACAATAATATTAAATATGTTGGTAGATTAAAATTAAATTTTAAATTTAATTACTTTAGTTTGAAAATGTAACCAAAACATAAACGAACTACAATATAGAATTCTTTGCTTTTGCATGACCATGTGAGAAAGTTGAAAGTTGAAATATCTTTAACCCTTGCTATTTGTTGAAAGTTGTAATGCCTGATGAACTCCTGCAGTTATACAAATTGTATCTATAATATTTACTGTACAAAAATAGCAGTGGGTGAGGCGTCTGTATGTGTAAATGCATTATACTGTATAATTCACGTGACATTACCCAATTTAGGTCTGATTGACCGCATTGCCGTGCGCATATTAAACATAATAGAGCGACGCTCCGTTGTTATGTAAATGTGATCGAGACCGAACCAAATAAAAATAATTTGTATTATTAACGCTGTGGAATTGCGGTCACTCCTGAGCTGGATAGCCGAATTGCACCCCTGGAGAGTCGTTGAATAAAATATAATCATGTTTCCGAGACAAACGTTACAAATGAATTATGACGAGTGCGAAAAAGGTACAAAATACTAAAAAAATTGACTGAAACATGTTTCTGATAGTTATTATTATATTTATTTAATGTTCAACAAACTAATTTGAATGGAAGAAAAAGATCAAAGTTGAGTTTTCTATTTTGTAAAGGATTCCTAAATCATTACCTATTTTTACGAAAAATAACTGTTTATCTAACATAATTGTGTAGTAATATCGTAGAGGTATATTATTATTAAAAAGCAGAAGGATGTCGACATTATATATCCTGAAAAATATTTCTCATGGACTGTCTACACGCAAAACTTACCAATAAAAGACATAGATATTCATATCAAAAATATACGAACCAGAATGAGCTTTAAGCAGTAATGTAAAATAATATTCTTGGAAAGCATCTTTTTTTCTTATCTTAATAGTGGCCTAAGAAATTAAGTACCTAGTTTCTTTTTCTGAATGTGGAGCATTGAAATATTTTTTGACGTCCCGTTCTGTGCTAATATAAAGTCCTAAAATAAACCAAACAAAATGTATGCGTGACGAACGGTAATATTTTTCATAGAAACTCTTTTCTTTCTCTGAAAATTAATCAAAACTCGTACTGAACTACTGTAGTGATTGCTACAGCGTTCCCGGCTTGAATTATGAATGTAATTATAATATAACGATGTTTATTTTTGCATTCTAAGCGACCGAAATCAACCTTAATTCTGATGTTTACTTCAATGTGACACTAATCATCCCAATTGTTATTTGAAATTTCCAAACACCTATCCAACATTACACTCGCCGAATATTTCTAGAACGTGGAAATTATTCGATAACCTCTCTAAGATCAATGCTTTTGTGTCACATTAAAGCGTGATAAGAAGAGTATTTTCATTATTATATTCATTAGGTACTTTTAATGATTTTTACAACATATTGAGAATTAAGACTCGAGAGTGATATTTCCAAGTCGAATTAAAGCGTCCCTGTTTCCACTGCTTGGTGTCAGCCGCAGTTGTTGACGAAACGTCTGGACATCAAAGCCCCTTAGCCCGAATATTTATCTACTATTGATATCATCCTTAAAAACATATGTTCTTATGTTGTGAATATGTTTATTTAGTTTTAACGCATTCGCCATAGAAACAATCAACGTTCTTGATTACCTTACATGTTGTTCTTTAAAATGTTCGGCGCCTCCACCATATTACGCCCAATTTCCAAAAGTCCCTTTCAGATACTTGATATTTCGTATCGTATCAGTTTGTCTGATTGCTTATTCTTTTTCATAATGATATACTCAGAGGGAGCGTATGTTGACCTCAATGTTTAAACCTGTCAATTGTATGTATGACCGGATTGAGACTTTCAATTTTCTTGTTTGTCATTGCCTGACAAATAACACTAAACAACGAATCTGTAGAAAATCTTTTTCTATCGAATTACTGTTACAACATATAATTCGGATTTACTTGAACTGTATAAATATATCTTGGAGAGCTTACACGTAACGATAACATTTTAAAAGGGTTTATATGTTTTACTCTTTAATGGAAAATCCTTATCGTTGAATTTTATAGGACTGACATTGTTAGCAGTAAAGGATTGTTATTACTGCCATAAACTGACAACATTCATATACTTGTTCGCCGTTTATACCTTTCAGACCACTTACAAACGTTGTTGATGCAGCAAATCCAGTCGTAAACCATTTCGTAGAATTCTTTTTTTCTAATTTGGAATTACAATCTATGGAAATAATTTGGATAGTTCACAAGATAAAATTTTCCTACTTAGAGTTTTTTTTTTACAAACAGTAAGTTATTATTAAAATGAGGTTCAATCAGATAGTATTGTTTATCTGTCAATAAAATTTCTATACATAAACCTAATATGCAAGCTCACGTTGTGTCATTACAGAGCTACATGCAATCGGTCTTTGGAAAGCTTTATAATGTATTCGGGTGGCTCAAATTGATTTTCAATGGCGCTGATTGCATCGGAATAGACCGTTAATCCCTTCAAATTCAAATTTGGTATAGTTAACTTTGTTTTCTCTAGGAATCGTTTTTTTAACATTTTCATCGGTCGATTAAAATAATTTAATCATACAACTATAAATCATATTTGCATTTATCAAACGGTCCTTAGATTTTAAAACAAAATTTTGAGCATATTAAAGCAATAATCCGTTTTTAATTTCCACGTATAGAAACCTTAAATGAATCCTTTTCAATATTACAAACCTAAGAAAATTAAAAATGTAAGCCGAAATTACCTATTGCACAACTGAAACTTCAAATTACATAGTTTGATTTTTATAGAATTGCATCGTCTTCCCAAAGTTTAGCAAAAGTATTATTCATTTATAATTATATCGTAAATTCACAACTGTTTGCTTTCTTAAATCTTCTGCTTGTTTTCACTGAGATCTTGAATGGTTATAACAATGAATTTTGTCGCCGTTCCTTGTTTATCTGTTAACGAGCAAGGAAAAGCTTCCAGTGAATGTTTCGCCTTCCATATACATATGCACATGTATATTGGGCTTGACATGTAAGCAGCTTTTTGCGTTTACGTTCTTGGGTGCATTCATCATGAGCCGTGCACTCCTTCATAGAGCGTATCTGCACATAAAAATAATTTATAAGGGTCGTTTCGTATCCGTATTTCTCACTACCGTTAAAAGCTGAATTGGTACCGCGGGTCGAGTGTTTATCACCATTATATACAGGGCAACAACTTAGCACATCGTAAAAAATGAGTACCTCTCCGTATTCTCACCCATCCTATTTCATTAAATGACATGTTTGCAATTACAACTCATAAGGTACATAATATCGTTAATAATGATTAAATACAATCGATAATAAGTACGCACTGTTACCAAATGGTTCGATTTACTAATAATGCCTATAAATGCGAGAGTGGCAAATTACCTTCCATGATTTTGTGAAGAAGTTTTTAATATTAAACATAATGGAACGTTGGTGTTCCTCTACATGCATCAGGATGACTCAGTCGATTTTCATTATTAATGCACCCATCGGTCTGAAGCCGTTACGAAATGCACAGTATATTTCATGAATAAGAGTTTGAAGTTGAAAGCTAATCGATCTGTGGTTATTTTTTTGTGGAGCAACGTGGAACTAAATGATTAATTCCATTGTGGTTGCGGTCAGCGTACGGTGGCAGAGTTTGGGATGCGAAGTCCACTCAAGAGCGAAATTGCATTTTCATATTGTAATCACTCTAATCAGTACGATCTATACATACGTACATATACATGAGAGCCGGGTGAGCCTTGATCCGTGAAAGTCGAAAGCGATGGGATGCGGTTGGGGCCCAGCCTACCCTGACGTAGCCGTTCTTCGTAGCGCACACTACCCTCTGCTGTATTCATTATGTTATGATACAAATCCCTCATTAATGTGAAAATGCAATCGGAAACATAAACTGACTGAACTAAATAGGGTTAATTGTAATCTAGCACGCACACTCCTGATTTAACGTCAATTCCTCCCTGAAACACGTTCAATTAAGTTGACTAATTAACATTTTAGTCAAATATTGGCCCGTAACCATTGCGTCGAGCATAATTTTAATAGCAAGACAAAGCAAAGCTTTTAGCGTAAAACTAAAAATTAAATTATACGTATTCCATCAAACGGTACTTACTATTTCCATTAATATTAGCATATTTTACTCCAACCGTTTTTCAACGCTTTTAATTTATAAGTACTTACCCATTATTGTTATTGAATTTTTATTCTGTGTAGATGTTGTATATTATAAAAACTATGCATCCCTGAAGTAGCAACTTTTATACGGTAAATTCTCAATTTTTATCAAAAATTCATAGATATTAATTAATAATTTGCTAGTCTTTCTTGAGAATGCCTTCAATTATATTAACTTTACCGATGAATATTATTCTCTTCCGGACTACATGAGGGTTTCTTTAAGTACTCATTTTATTGCTTATTTTTCGATACTTACCTATATGCCGTAATTAAAAAGTATCATATTTAGTAATCGTTTTGTATATACTATTTTGCAAATTTCCACATTTCATAAGGGAGCAATTTATGATAAACGCCCTTTTAGTAAACCCGACTCTTCGTGTGCCGTATTGGCCACCGTAACTCCGAAATAGGACCATAATTAATTCCAAATCATAAACCCGCATAGTATTACAGGGTTGAGTGACTGCGCAAGCCGACAGCTTCGGTCCCAATTCTATTTTGTCATGTCCCTGTTCGAATTTATGGGGACGTCATTAAGTTCGATCTGCTCGGAAGGATATTCTTTTGATTTATATACGCCATTTTAATTTGGAGAACTCATCAAAGTTTGTGAATTATTGCGAAGGTGCTGTTCCTGGCTTAGTAACGGAAATAGGCCTCTGTGGTTCGACAGTTGTGGATTTTTTATGAACAGGAAATAAAATCGAGACGAATGGCCCAGATTAAAACGCAAATCTCTTATTATTATGAAATGTTTCATACAATTATTACTTGTACCTACATGAGTAGACAAGTATCTAGTTTTTATTTGAAAATACAAACACGAGCTAAGCTGTTTCTTGTTAATTATTTACTTTTTTATATCAATTACCTGCACTGACTATATTTATGAATATTCACGGACGATTTAATATTAAAGTGGGTGCGTTATATTGCAGTCAAAAAGGAGTCCTGACGAATAGCATAAAAGGCTTTGCTCCAACACGAGATTTTTCGAGTATCATTTGCGCGGTAAAAAGTACGACAATTACGCAAATAATCTTCATCTTTAACCCCGCATTTACTCGTAATTGTGGAGAGGTGGAGTACTTAGTACACACCCTTGTTCTGCATTTTCCCGTTTTACCGTTACTTTCCAAAGAGACGACGCTAACGTAATATACTTACATACGTATGTACTTACATACCTATACAAATAGAAACAGAGAGCACGTCTTTTTAACATTTATTCATATTTAATGCAGGTTACGCGCCATCTTATTTACGTTTCTTATTTTTAAAAACCCCAAACGATTTGCCTAATATAAATTTTTTAAACATATACAAATGGAAACAAAATATGAATACTATTTACCAGTCCTCTCATCAGTACTTATTGCAAATTTAAAACTATAGTGTGTTGTAGGTACATTAAATTTAAGACTTCTCATGGATTCATATGTCAGTCTTTGCAGTTATGAGTTATTAGTGTATTTTTTCTTTTAGTTAATTTTTAAGGGTGGTATACAGTCACATTAATTCGTTTGGAATATGATATGAGTTTTTCATGGAAAGTTCACCTTGTACCCAATAATTTTTTATATTCAACATTTATAAATCTGTTGCTACTAAATTGTAATAAAATTTCCCTAATTATAAGGAATTTTATGCACATCTGAAATGGAATTCAGGGAATGAAATTCGTTTGTTCACGATAATGCTGAATTTTCTATTTCACGTGAATTTGAATGTATGGTTTTTATCCCTTCAATATATGACTTTCGAGTAATTCTGTGCATCAAGCAAAAGTTAACAAGTAAATGTTAATATTCCCAATAGTTCGTGCTAGCAATTATCTTCTGTTTAGCGTATACACACTGTCCAATTTAGATAGAAAAGTCTTTTATAAGTTTTGTGCTCTCAACCTTTATTTTGCATACATATTCGTCTGTTGTCATAGCCCATAGTAAAATGCAAATTTACCGCATAGGTATGCGTGAAAACTATTATATATATAACCCGAAACCCCTATAATATAGTCGGCACTGGAAATTTTCTTATACGAATCTTCTATAAACATAAATATATAGTACAATTAGATAGATAGTAGGTAGTAGAGATGTTGGCTTGATATTACTGCTCCAAGTTTATTTACAAGTTGAAATAAATCTACATTTCAAAATAGGAATATCATGTAATAACCCAGCAGGTAAATAAAAATATGCTAGTGAATCCATACAAATTGGGGATTTCACTCCTATATCTGCGGCATAAACATACCCCAGCAACTCTGTTATTTCGGTGGATGTAATAAAAGCGAGCGTCTACTAAATTGGGAAAAGTCGGCTATGATCGATGACTTCTACATGACGCGCCCGAAAACAACTCAAAATCCAATATACGGGAGCGATGTTACAGGCTCTGATTTGCCCAAATGACACACACGACTTTTCCATAATTCCCACTTGGAATCCAATAAAATAGGTTTGGGATTACTTTACACGCGCCTCCGCCGACTCTGGTGCGCCCAACTTTTACACTTTCTTTTTCCCTTCTCTCGAAACGGTTTATTCGTGAAATAACTGCACATGTTCTAATTTATTTTTAAATGACAGCAAATTTACGACACGTTCGGCAAATTAAAATAAAACGAACAATAAAATAATTGCCTATCAAAAAGAGAGAAAAAAAAGAGAGTCGCACCCTCGCACAGTCGATCAATATCGATCAATGTCTATAAAGTCCTTCTTCTTTTATTTATTTTAGGTACTATTTACTATTTACTACTTGTAATGACTTATAACGCATTACATATTCAATATTAAAATTGAAGATCGCGTTCTTTTGTTTTAGACTTCCCTCGGGTTTGCAACAGACCCAAATTGCCCAGCAGATCCCGAGCGGCGGTAACACGATTCAAAACAACACCCACTGTCAACAGTCACAGGCGCCCCTTGTCATGCCCGTTTTTCCTTTACGACCTCCGGTAGCTCCCACCCACGCTCCTCATTATTCCCCCTATTCCCCGTCTAGATTCCACATAGATAAACAGTGTCATCATCGATGCACGTGGAAATGTTTCAGTATCGCCTTGATACTAATAGCTGTTATTCTGTCAGGAATGCTCGCTTATTTTGCAGGTAAGGACATATATAAAGTAAATATACATATACTCAATAATAATACAGGTCTACAAATAAAGTGGTATTTGAAATCACAGAAACAAAAAAAAAAACGGTTGCTCGTTAATGTGCAGGGATTTTATTTTTAAGCATTCTTAATTGGACTTCATGAAAAACAACCTTTTATTATAGAGTAGAATTATTTTCTTTTGTTTTCAACAAGAAAACAAAGAGTTTTGAGAAATATCGCAGTTTGGAATGGAATTTTACCTACCTGGTTCTTATTTCTCAAAAAATGCTTTGCCGATTTCATCAAGTCGAAGTGTAAATTCTTGTACTAACTTACGGAGAAAATTCAATAGCGCAAAGGAAAATTATTCCTTTACATTTGAAAGAACTAACAACATGTAAACGGAAGCCTGTCATTCTACGCTATGTCGCTATTTCTAAGTTTTCCAATTTCAGTGTCCTTTAACAGCCAGCCAGACTTCCCATGTTCGCTGTACGTATAAGAGACGATGCTGCGAACACATTTCTTATTTCTGTGTGTTTCGCTCCATACACTTCCGTAGACTATAACGATGTAGTTTTGCTATTTCATATCCGAGTCTATTGCCACTCAATCTTTGCAAATGCTTGCTCAGAATGTTGTTTTTGCCATTTATAAATAATTTCCATTTTGTTCAAACTGCAACCGACGGAGTTTTTACAAATTGAGCGTCTCATTAAGAACGAGCTTTTTAAATGACACAAATTGCCACAAACTTAAGAAGCTCTCGTCTGTGGTTGCCCTTTTGTCGTGATGAACACGAACTTCACGTTGGGAAGTCACTTGCTCATTAGCATAAAGAGAGACTGTGGATAAGTCGCTATCAACATCAAATTTACTCCTTCAAATTAAGTTAATGTAAAGTGCACTCTACAATATACCTCACTCTGAATTTTTTAAAAAGGAAACGAGTAATACGTCAATATGAATCGAGGATTTTTTGATGAAAAACGTAGTGCCTACTGCAGTTTTTGATGCTGCTAATAACTGTTTGTTTATTTATACATTTTTGGATAGAAGTGCCTATAGATAAGAGTTGGGACGATGATTATGCAAACCTGTAACATAATGGCTACCATTATTGAACGTCCGATTTCCAGTTACACGTCAGTTGGCTTGATTAAAAGCTATTATTAATTTGAAATATGTCGGTAGTAATTAATTATTTTTAATTGTCATTTACTAATTGGCAATTCGTTATTATTGATCTTAATTATCTTCCGCACCGTTCTTCTAATTCTTGCGTTCGATGGGACCGTTCAATTTGTAGTGACATAAATTGTCAAATATGTACTTGCAAAACGAAAAGGTTTAGAATAATTAATTAATTTGATTGTTGGTGACCGAACTATGAATTACCTATACTGATTATTTTGTCACGATACGGATTAGTTGATTATATGTAGGTAATATAAGTATATTCCTATTGAAAAAGCACGCTGCAATCAATAATTTCATTAAATCGAAACAATATTTAATTTGTAATAGGTAGTAACCATCAGAATATTACATTTTAAGCAAAACGATTTTTGTGTACCGGATTATTCATGTTTTTAATCACAAACCATCGAAACTCAATAAAGTTAAGACTTATTTTAAATTTTATCTTTACTATCATCATGCCAATGGACACACAGAATAAACTTATATGAACGTTGCACTTCGACTTGTAACAAATATCACATTTTATGTAGGTATTCTATTTTAAAGGATTTCCAACTTTGCCATGCAATAGGTGATCAACGACTCAACGTAAAGCCTATTCGTCGTTAAGTTCATGCATTAAAGGTTTACTGTTTTGTAAAAACAGCTGCCCATAAACGTAAAAAAGTGTACTAACATTCGTTTTTAATAATAAATAAACTACTGCGGTAGATGTACCTATAGGTATAGATATACAGGTACGTAATTACAAAGCAGAGATAGGTACGCCGAAAACCTACACAATTTATAATATATGTTGGTTGCGTCACCTACTTACAATTGTCATATTTTCCCCGTTCCCTTTATGTTTAGTCCCCTGCCGTATTTGCAAAATTAGTTTTGTCGATATGCTGCTCAAACGGAGAATTTAATTCCTTTCTCGCTATCCTGTTAGTGGTTTAATCATAAACTGAACAATTCATGAATTTTACGAGAAAACTTGATAAGGTTTCATAAGCACGGCAGACTGTATCGCAAGTTTTGCCTTTTATCAAAGCGAAATGTAATTTGCAGCCGTCAGTTCTGCGAAACCCAGTATGGACGCATCTAGCTGCATATTGGTCCAGGACGTCAAAGATGTTACTAACGACCAAATTACACAGGGATCGATCTCTTCTCAACTTCCCACTGAAGGTAAACATCCAATTTAAGTCTTTTATTTATTCTACATTGCTAGCTTCTCGGCTCTTCTGTCATAGGAAAAGATGTTTGATAAATTCTTCGAAATACACGCGCTTTCACTCGTTGCAGAGGCTAACGTGTACCTCTGGGACTAGAGATAATTTACCTTTTTTTTCTCCGCGCCAACGATAAAGAAAACGCGAAAAAGAAGACATCAAAAGTAATACGTGGGGGGCAAAATGTATATATTTATCAGTGCTTCATAATAAAACTTAATAGGTACATATAAGAAAGAAACTTACTTTTGATTTTAGAAGCTGTAATGGAACGTTTTAAAATGTGAAAGAAAATAACAAAAATGTAATGATCTTACAATTAGTTTTAAACCTACGAATTGTATAAAATTTCTTGAAAAATAAGTTGATTAAGTTATCGGAGCATACAGTAATCGTAATTAATAGAAGTTGAAACCTTAAAAGGATGCCAGTATCATCATTATCAAAACAATGTTTAAAAAATGTTTATCATAAGCATTTTGCACTAGATCATTAAAACGAAATGAAGTAGTTCCTAAGTTGTTTTATGTAAGTAATACATAGATAGATATGTGTATGTATTACTAAACATTTTCTTCATTACATTAATGCAGAATACTGACAAAGTGAAGCAGAGGTAAAGTTCTAAAAATGCGCAACAGTGATATCTAGCGAACCGCCCCATCTCATTGTTCGAAAAACAAAGAAGTAATGCACGAGGGAGAAATAAAAATAAAAGCGTTGGGATGATTGTTGTATGTTGTTTCCCTCTTTTCCATTAATTTTATTAGGTACTCGCTTTTCTTTTGTACTTGACGTTTGTATAACGTGCAGAGCAAGAAAACCATTAATCTCCTGCTTTACATATTTGCATATTTTATGTTGCACTCTTGCACCTCTGTAACCGCAAAATAGAAATAATTCCTTCAATCATACAACTCCTCAAAACTACGTCTGTTTACTTATAATGCTGTTTACATCGCTTATCATTAAGCAATGGGGATATAGGAATGTGTTCTTTTTCTATTCCCGTTTGCCGTACAGGAGAAAAACAAAAAAAATCAGGAACCCGTTTTGTCGCCATCATTACTTTGAAACTAACGAGAAACGGGTCATAGGGTGAGTGTTCTGTTTTGTTCAAGAATCTTTGCCAACGAGCACAGCTGAGCATTCGAGCGTGACGACAAACGTGGCATTACAACAACAGCCGCAACAACAGAGTCAGTCGCAGCCGCAGTGGCCGCCACTGCTCGAGCTCCGGGATTTCGACGTGCTCCACACCACCACCATTCCACCTTATCAGTTCTGGAACTCGGAATTCCGCAACAAGCAGCCCGCATTCATCCGGTTCAATTTCACGCTGCCGTGGGGCGCCAACTTCGCCGTCTATGGACGGAGGAACGTGGTGCCCAGCGTCACGCAGTACGACTTCGTCGAATTCGTCAAAGGTGGAAGGGTCGATCATCGGTTAAGGAAAAGGGACGTTGTCACGAAGCATGAGCTTAAAAGGAGCAAATCCAACTTTAAAATAAACGACAGAAATAATAAAGACATACTGGATGTTATTTCGAGTTCCTATGAAGCTACCAGGAAGATCCTCTCCGATTCTGAAAGTGCACAGTAAGATTTTATAATTGTGTCATTCGTTTCACTGTATCAAATCCAAATCTATTGCAAATACGTGATTTTATGGTATAAATAAAAGCTCTTTCCTATTCTTGATTAAAAGATACCTACCTATTTCTAATAATAAAATAAAAAGAAAACATTAGAAGCAATCAACTCTGTTAGGTCACTTCTGGAAAAGGCAAAATCAGTTATACCTACTGAACGCGTATTTCCGAATTCATTGTCAGAACAATAAGTGAATGTTCTTTAACAGGATTCCAATTTTTATTCCTCGAAATGTACGACTGAATGCGACAGAAATTGAACCAACGGATTTACCGCGACCAACGGTTAATCTTGGAGTCACTCTTGACGCGCACATTATTTCAAAAAGAGAAACAGAACTGGAAGCTATGATGGTGAACGTGAGTTTACTTCAATACCTTGACACGGGTCGTTGGTTTCTTTCGGTTTACAACGACGAACTTCGACCCCACAGCGTTTCCATGGTAATTTCGGAAGCGGAAGATGTAACGACAACTTGCCCAAACGACTGTTCGGGCAGAGGATCGTGCTATCTTGGCAAATGCGAGTGTGTGGACGGCTTCCAGGGAATTGACTGCTCAAAAAGTAAGACCTGAATATTCTTCTTTAAATTAAAATTTCAGGATTCCTTCTCTACGAAAAGGATTAAATATTATTTTCAGGTGTTTGCCCGGTCTTATGTTCAGCGCACGGCCAATACGGCGGCGGCATTTGCCACTGTGAAGAGGGATGGAAAGGGCCGGAATGCGACGTACCGGAGGCCGAATGTCGTGTGCCTGCCTGTTCCGGAAACGGCCTTTGTGTAAGCGGAAGTTGCCAATGCAAAAAGGGCTGGAAAGGAGACGCTTGTGACGAGCCGGACTGCGAAGACCCAACTTGTTCGAACCACGGAGCGTGTGTCCACGGCCAGTGCTATTGCAAAGCGGGGTGGAAGGGTGGCCGTTGTCACCTAATTGACGAACAAGTCCACAAGTGTCTCCCCAGCTGCTCGGACCACGGGGTCTACGACCTGGAGTCCGCCAAATGCGTCTGTAATAGACACTGGACCGGACCTGATTGCTCACAAGGTGATTGTCTCTGATTCCAAAACGAACTCGGCTAATTTCTCAAAAAATGAACCGAGCGTTTTGTCTGTCTGTTTTCTTGCACCGCTTCAAATGAATCGCGAATCGTTTTCACTTGCGGATCGTTGTTTAATTTTGTTTCAGCCCTTTGTAATTTGGACTGCGGCCCGAACGGCATTTGCGACAGCGGAAAATGCCAATGTAATCCTGGTTGGACAGGCTCTCGATGTGATCAACTGCCTTGTGATCCTCGTTGTCAAGAGCATGGCCAATGCCGCAACGGCACCTGCGTCTGTTCCCAAGGATGGAATGGGAAACACTGTACCTTGCGTAAGCTTTCCTTTTATTCCATTTAATCTTTTAGAAATTAAACGAATAGTTTGTTTCTTTACCACCGTTACGTGATTAAAACACGAAAGAAGCTTCTTTACGAGTATCTTGATCGTTAAAGAATAAAAAGTATTTATTTCGTATCTTCAAAAATCCCTTGAAAACAAGTAACGACGGCAGGCAGTTAACCAGCAAAAATGAATTTGTTTTTATTCCCCCCGCTTTTCTTGCAGAGATTCTTACGGCGACAAAGGGATGTTTATACAAATTTGGTGCAAAATAGGAGAACCTTTGTTTTCTTTAATTATTCACAAGTATATATAAGTACCTATATAAAAAAATGTCAAAATACAAGTAACCTTTAAACAACAAGAATTTATTTGGCAATAAATTTAAATTATAGACAGGTATGAAGAATTAGATAACAATTCCCTTTCCCCTAAAGTGGTTTTACTCAAATAGCTGTTCAATTTCAAACTAATAATATTAAAACGTACACGTAAATAACATTAACGTAAACTACTTTGTATTTTATTTCATAAGCCACTTTTCTCTGCAGTTCTCTTTTCTACAAAGGGATATCCTAATATTCCTTCGGTATTCAGAAACAAATTTCATTTTACTATTTCTTTTATGGTAAACACGTTCGGTTCAACCAATCCTGTCATGTTTGTCTTAGTCGAAAACTAATTTCGAAGAGTAAGGGCCGTCACCCTTCTTCAAAATAACATGTTATAAATATGGTAATCAACTACTGAAAAGTGCAGTTATATAAATCCGTACGATAATAAAATGAAGCGATACATAAAATAGGAAAAAAAAATTTTAAATGAACATTGAATGAACGTATAATTTCCAAAATTATTAAATTCAAAATTTCTTTTAAAACCAAATAAGAATCTAATTGTTATTCTTCTTGTAAATAGTGCAGCGGTAGAATACAGAGCAAAAAGGCTGAACGATACAATAAACAATGCGTCGAGAATCAAAAATGAAACTAACAATAATAACGAATTAGAAATGCGATGCTGTTTGCTTTTTTACTTTGTAAAATGTAAATTGTTCGCGTCGTATCCTACATAGATATATATTTCATATGGAACGTTTATAAGTACGCATAGATGAACTTATGTATTGTCTTTGAATGCATTAATGCAAATGCTAGTATATATATATATAGGTACATCTTTGAAAACTTGGAAAAGAACTCCGAACATGGGGTCAACTAAGCGTTTAAAATAGCGCAGCACTTTATCGTGCATGAATAAGTCATAAATATTAATTTTAACAGTGGTGCATCATTTAAAGGTGGTTATTTACTTTGAGCTTACTTTTTGCCTTCGATAAATTTTTTTGCCACAAACGCTGCGGAAAAATTATGTAAACGCGTAAACGAGCGTACATACTCGTAACTTGCCAACAATAACAAAAAGGGTTGATTTTGTGTTTGCAGTTTACCCTTTGATTTTCACAAACACTGGTCATACTTACCTTCGCCTTCTTATGCAATATTTATGAAAAAATGCAGCAGTACAAAACACCGCAAGTGTGAGTTAATAATAAGACAAACCATTCAAGTAGATACATCGTCTCCCTGCACTGCGATAGTTCATGTTTTATAAAACTGATAGTCTCGTCGGCTTACTTTTCCTAATTTTCTAACAGCGTTTTCTTCATTATTTTAGCAGATTTAACCTCTGAAAGTATGATAGGTACCTATGTTTCTGTTAGAACATTTCCGCCGGAAAGAAATGTACTTCTACGTATTTAAGTATATAAAGCATTTGACAATGTACGCAATTTATTTTACAAATTAGGCACTTATTTCAGCGGGTTGTGAAAACGGCTGTTCTGGCCATGGCCAGTGTAACTTGGAAGAGGGTGTTTACCTCTGCGTCTGTATCAAGGGATGGGCTGGTTCTGATTGTAGCATTCCCTTAGAAACCGAATGCAACGATGATATTGACAACGATTTCGGTAAGTCTTCTAATAAATCTACACCTATTGTTTGTGGCTTTTTAAAATATGCAATTTAACACCCTCCCTTTAACCGAATAGGCACTACGGCAAAGTAAGAAATTGCTCACAGTTTTCATTTCTTTATAAAAAGAAACAAAAATGCTACAAATTGTTTAATATTTCCTATTTTCCTGAAAGCGGAAACAAACCAGCTACATATATAATTAGTATTCTAAATTCAGATGTGCATACATGTTGGGTATGTTTAAATAAGCTGTTTAAATTATGATACTCTCTTTAATATCTACCTAACGATATTAAACCGTCCGGACTTGCAGCTGTTACCTACATCTCCACTTTGCAATGCTCCATCAACTTCTCTACTGCTGTTCGGGTTCATTAGCAAAGTACCTACAGATAATTATTCAGAGCCAACGTTAATATTTGCTCATTTTTTTTCACCGATAACTACTAATATTCCAATGGGAAATAGAAAATATTTTACGTCAAAGCCCACCACTCGAATTCGACCCCAAATAAGTAAAAATCAAATTCTTAAGAAATGCCAGCCGATGATTTCTAAGTGTAAAACGTTCATGAAGAAAATTAGGGCATTACTTTTCGAGATACACTATTTGTAAAAACATATCTTTTAAGTAGATCGGCTAATTTATAACTATCAAAAAAAAGTTGTAACTCAGTTCACTACGCTTGACTTTGATGAGTAGATACATTTAAAACGACGCCGACGTAGGTAACGCACGAAGGAGTTGAATATGTTGTTGCTTTATTTTTTGGATTTGATTCAAATACCGTGAGTGAATGCAGTCTCAATAATAATTTTACTACCTACGGTCGATTTGTTACGTATTCTCAAAGATGGTTTAGTCGGACGTCGTAGGTACATAAGTTGCAACGTTTGTTACAGACGGGATGGCTGATTGTTTCGACAGCGAATGCTGTTCTCATGCCAGTTGTGCAGATCACATAATGTGCTTGGCTAGCAACGATCCTGTCGAAGTTCTCCTGCGGAAGCAGCCGCCTTCGGTTACTGCTTCCTTTTACCAGCGCGTCAAGTTTCTGATCGAAGAGAACTCGGTTCAGTCGTACGCTCACATGGACGAATACACGGAAAGGTGAGTCCTGCAACTGCGGTAGTCTATTGTTTGTTGAGTGTAGTGCTTAAGTTTGACCCTAATAAAGGGCCCTAGACACGCGGATCACAATACAAAAAGTTCTGCACGTTGCGGCGGAGAAGCCGTCGCTTTGCTCGGGCACCGCACACTCCCTGCGGGCCCCTAACTCCCCAGGCCTTCCTCCCCCGAACGCTGCTCTCTCAACCTTCAATAACATTCCGAACTAGTAATTTTAATCAAAAATACCGTTGGTCATTTTATTTGACCGCATCCTGAAGTTACACTAGAATAAAATTAATAACAATTGTTTATTTTGGGCTCAACTGAAATATCTTTTGCTCCAATTCCCAGTTCGAAAAGAATTTGTTTTTAGCAAAAATATTTCTCACCGTACTAAGTTGGCATTGCAACTGAATTCACAGATAAATGTAAACTTTCAAAAAAGTTCAACATGATCAAAGTTGCATTACTCCAGTTTAGCTTAACTGGTAAATATTATACCAAGAATATAATCGACAAACTTTGAAAACAATGTAACATTTAATCATATGCTTCACATTTTCATTTAAGCAGAAATGTGCCTTCGCTAGTGATAATGTAAGACACACATTTTTAGTTTTTAGAAGGAAAATATTAGTGGAACTTAATAATCAATGACATTTAAATAATTTCTGCTTAATATATGATATAAGTAATTGAAAAAATCGAACAAATGCAGAAAAAAAAATCGCCGCTCAGTTCATATTTGCGTTTAAAAATAAAATCGGAATAAAACGGTGTCCTCCCTCGCGAAACGAAGTTATGTAATTTGATTTTATTACTTGACGCAGAAAATTTTCCAACTTTATTCGGTTATCACGCTAAAATGATGATGTTAACATTAACTGACATGAAAAAGCAAGGGGACTGTTACATTTACTTCTTCTAATGAACCGAACGCCAAAGACTAAAATGTAGATTTACCTTTAGGTATTAAAAAAATCATTTAGATACAATTTACAACTTGTATTTTTAAAACTGTTTTATTCACAACTTTAAACTAATGTTGGTTATTTACTAGAAGGAAAGTTTCTATTTTACACTTTACTTTTGTAATATGTCTCATTCTAAGAAGTTTTTCCGAACGTATCGTATGTATGTATTTAAAGGTACTTCTTTCTTGTTTCTTTTTAATAATTGGCGCCCTAATCAACAGCGTAAATGTTTGTATAAAAATCGAGATCCACAACCTTCTCCCAACATTAATAAAATATCTAATTGTTAGGTAGTAACACTGCAGCTCTTGCTTGTTCGTTTCTCCAATTCCAAAATTTCTTCCTCCTTCATCCATACACTAATAGAAAAATTGAGCTTAAATAAAACAAAGATAATTTGAGCAGCAGCGTTTCGGACCTTTTGTGTATCGTCAATTACCCATGTGTGCGTCTACCCGTCTCAGCCCCGAGTCTGTCTGGTGTTCAGACTTCGGACAAAGTCCGCAGCTGTGAAAGTAATAATTCTATTGTCTAATGACTTTGTTAAGTATGCAAACATTGAAAATGAAAGTACAAAAATCAAACCTTTAAAACTAGTCTAGTCATCGTTTACTAGAAAGATTTTGAAAAAGTAAAGCCTACTAAGTACCTCATATTTCATTGGCCAAATAAGCTTGATACTTATTACGTTCGTCGTACGAGTACTACGTGCTACACATATCACTTACAAACCTATCTTATAAGTGTTTAAAAACATGCAAGCCATAGCTGAATGGTTAAATTTTATTCCTTTTGACTGTGTAATGTTCTATTTCCGGCTGTCCGAAAGTATCAACTGACATTTCTTTTTGTCCAATAAACAATGCGGTACATCGGTTAGAAATAAGGGTAGGTATTTATCGTAATACTATTAGGCGGAACTCTTCGTATGGCAACCGTATTTTGAATCAAATTCTACCAATGATTGATGCACACTTTGCTTTCCTTTATTACTTATGTTTGTAAAAATTTTCGGCAATCTTTGCCTAGACTAGTTTGGGGGTTTTGGTGATGCGTTCGAATGGCGGACACAAGTTACGCTGTTATTGTTCCGTTCTAATTTCTAACCCGCTTAATAGAAGTCATGTTTGCGCTAACGAAGGATAACTCCGTCCTTAAAGGCCCTGTGTCTGTATGTTGCTAGTTATGAACTCGCTAACTTGTGTCTGTCATGTCTGTAGTACAATGTTTGTTATTATTACCTATTATATTATTATTATTATTTACTACATGTTCTGTTACATTGTTTCGTCAAACTGTAGATTAAACAGCGACTGTAGTGTCGGGTGGGTCTTTGCAGAGCGTCCGTTTATCGTAAAAAAATTTATCGTTTATTCACTTATTTAGCCTGACGTTGAACATTCATTATTAATAATCACTTTCAGTTTTCTTTTCCTTCGTGAAAATGATAATTGAAAGTAGTGTAACTTACAGAAATGGAGGACGCCCTTTGTGAGAAAGCCTCTTATAATTTTTCCTTTTCGTAAAATTTATTATTTACTCATATCAACCGAATTTTTATTATTATTATNAATAATAATAAGTTGGCTGGAAGTAATAAATTGAAATGTAATTCGGGATTTTTTAATGTGTTGCAATGTTTGTTCATCTTAAATTTTGAAATGAGGTGTACAAAACTATCGTTATTTCGTACGAATAATTAAATAATAATTGAGCAAAAGTTTTACTTCGCAAATACAATATAACAACAAGTAATTAATTTTTTACTCCAATAAGAGAAGTACCTAGTGTATATGCAGAAAATTTTGGTAGAACAAATACTTAGAGCAGTGCGTAAATATGTAATTGCTGCCTAATAATCATATTACTACCTATCCATCTCTGATAGTTACACAGCCAAACAGTTTCGAACAGGAAATTGTCGCACCCTGCACATTACCAAAGAGAAAAAGTTAATTCCGGACCGGATCCCCGCGTTTACGTTTTTTTATGCTTTGTAGCGAGCGCCCGCGCATGCCGATTACCTTTTGTTAAAAATAAACAATAATACACTTAAAAACACACAATTGTTTATCGGTATGCTCGGCCGCGCAAGTATTGCCGTGTTATTAGTAATTGTCCTGTCTTCTGTGTCCCCTATGTCGCTGCTGCAACCTCACTTGTAGCGAGTTCTGGAATTCCTTTACACCGCGGTAAGTGGCAGCATCACCCCATGTTTTGTCTGTCTGTACGTCTGTCTTATCTGTGCCGCCTGTAGCCTGCTGCTACCGCTATGCTGCTACTTAGCTGTCGCCACGTCAGAGGTCTTCTAATAGCTAATCACTTATCTTAAATTGAGGAGTCAATCACGCTTTTTAACTAGATACTTTTGCTGTTTCGTACTCGATTTTGTTGGCATATCATACATCAATGGTGCTAATCCACAAGTAATTACGTACCTATTTTAATAAAAAATAAAAAAAATAGCTTCTTTCGTGGCGCTAGCTGTATACGCTCTTTCTGTACGTCGATCATTTTATTTTTGTCTGACATCACTGATTCTTTAGTTTTCTTTATTCTCTTCCATTCTATCCACTCGTCCACTTACAAAAGTCAACTTCTTTGCCAAAGACTTGTTAAGGTTGGTAGCCACCCTTTTTGCGAACGCGGCGGCGAATGCTTAAAAAACTGCAGTAACATCCTGCCACCCTTTGGTACTGACAAGTGCAAATTCAGCCAAGATGAAACCTACCTACCTTTTCAACGTAGGTATAAATTATGGAGAAAAATGACAAATAAGTAACGACCGCATTCTTGCAGCTTTTTATTGTTTTTTTACGACGAAAGATGCATTCGCTACTTTGTTTACTTTTAAATATCGTTATATTAATTTTCCGATAGAAGAATGAAACAAGTTTTGATTATATTTTTCCCAAATTTAACGCACGCAAAAATGGGAAATCATTAGTAAATCATTAAATATTGACAACCCCAGCATTTGTCAGTTTTCCTTTTCATATTTTGAAAAGCTACTGCTGTACCGTTGCTGTAGGATATTTATAAGAACTGTAATAATTCTCCTCGTGATATTTACCTACACATACTTATTGATACTCGATAGTTAACGCATCTCTTGTAGAATTATAGAGATTACGGAACCGTCGCATTTTCATTATTACTATTAGAGCACAAGTTTTGGCTGAATTTGTTCCTGGATAATTTCGAAACGTAGAGTACAACGCAGGATGTCCTTTGTAAGTGGCAGTCCTGTCTCTATCTTTTATTTTTATTTTTTCGTTATTTTTTGTTTCTGTTGCCGCGGAATGCTTCGCTATATTATTAAACCGCTATATTATCAAGCGAACAGTTTCATTATATGAGCTTCCTCATCTTCACTACAACCAACATCATTTCAGCAGATATGTACCACGTTCCGAGCTGCGTTGCTTCACAACAAAGAGAGTCTGAAATTAAGCCTCGGCAGTAAATGGAAATCCTTTAGACAACAACCGACTGACTGAACCTTTCCGTATTAACACAAGTAGCTGGATACATGATATGATGTACCTATGCTGTGGTGGCAATGCAGCTACGGAGCGATTAAAATTCTTATGCAATGCGCGTATTTCGCTCATTTAAAAAAAAAAACGACGACTGGAGGAGTATTGACTTACTGTTAATGCAACTAAACGTTTACTATAATTTGGAAAGATTAGGCAGAAATATTTTCAGTCGTAATGGAAAAGATCCAATATGCATTTAATCGATCTATAAAATATCCTTGACGAACCTCCCAATGAAAGCATTAGAACGACCACCATAAAAACATTTTGAACATCATAATCTGTTGGTAGTTTTATTTGAATACCGAAACACAACTGCTCTAAAATCGTTCATCTCATCCCGCACGCAATATTTGACTTTTTACTTTAATCGTGTAAACTGTTTTACGGTATTTTTATTAAGAAAAGAAATTATCGTGATCATAAAATTTTAGAAGATTCATTTTACAAGAGAAATGTTTCAAGGACAGGACTTATTTTGAATTGAATTTAAAATTTTATCAACCTGCCTTAAAATCGCTATTTTCAAATCATATCTACTTACCTACTTATTTTATACGGTAGGTTAAAAAATTCCGGTTAATTTATAGCTTGTATGTACATAATAAGAATGCTTTCGTAAAGCATAAAAATGCAATGTTTGTTTTTAAAAAAATTTGTATAAATAATAACTGGCCATATTTTAAATTCACAAATAACATTACAGATCCGAACGGTTGTTTCCCATCTCGCCCTTTTCGTTTGATTTTACAGACTCGTATTTTAATATCTTTATGTTTATTTAAAAGGTATAAAATTGTAATTAGTCCGTTCATTCGACTTATAATAATTTAATTTAGTATTTCTTCTAATAATTCATGCTCCTCCTTTCACGCCATAAAAATAGCGTTTCTGATATTGTTACACTTACTGGTGGTATGCATAAGAATTTTCTCATTTAATTTTTTCGCCAAAATACAGCATCTATACTTTAATATTATAACATCCAGAACAACATTGTACACGAGTTACTGCAAACAATTGATAAAAGACGGCTCGGCCGAAATCCTTCCTTTGTCTTCGTATCATCGTCACCTATTTCACCTCTGTTAACCCTCTTCCTCAACTTACCTGTCTTCAAAACCGTATTTGCATCGTTGCATTGTGACCACTATACACTGTACCTTGCGGACTGGGTGCAATGAATTACATACAATATGTACGCAGAGCAATTTGACCACTATTTAGAATAGAATTAATTACAATCGAATGCAAATTTGAATAAATACTAAATCTTTTTGTCCTGTTTTAAAATTATTAACCATTTCACTTTTCTTATTACAAATAGACAACGAAAAATATTTCTAAACAAAGTCGTTAAAGCGAAAAACTTTAATACATAACATAATAAAAGCAGACCCGTTTACGACTTTGTTAAAATTTTGAAAGCTTCTAACTTTTTCTCAATTCTGTCTCTTTTATACAATTTATCAAACATAATAATCGGTCATGTTTGGATAAAAATAAACTTTTCAACTTTTCTACCTATTACTTCGACAACGAAAAGACTTAGTTTAACACTCTATGTTTCAAGCTTGTTAGAGGGGCAAATGAAAGTTCTTTAAATGGACCACTAATTGGAAATAATGTAGCATTTGTTCGCATTAATCTCTATTTTCTTAAATAAACTAAGACAAACATCTAAGAATATCTGGTCTAAAACTCAAGATAATTTTTGTGTATCTGCTCATACCTACCTACTGATTTTCTTTTAGAAGAAAGCGAATTTTGTAATACTATGGAAAGGTACAAAGATTTTTTTAGTTTTAGTACAGTACTTTATTCATTTCTAAGTCAAAAATTAAAATACGTTACAACAAAATATTTAACTACCTTCCTAACATAGTTTTGTTTATTCAAATTTGCAGTTTTTTAACTACCTACCTACTATTGAATTCAGTAGGAGCAACTCTCAAACGATGCTTGCTTTTGTAGAACCATAAAATCGGGCATAAAAATAAAGAATGCCTGAATTTATGGTTACCCTTTGTGTAAATTGTGGTAGATATTATTTATTAATAATGATTTTAAACGCGTTATTTTCAGAACAATCACAAGGTAAGTACATACGATATTTGGAGTGTTCATAGAAAGTGACTCCACCTAATTGTTTAACAATTTACATTATTTATATTTTAACTTAAATAATAATAAACCCTTTGCCTGTGCACAAGTTATACGATTGATTTGTCAGGTAATTCATTGCAGCCAATGATGAAGTTATTCCCAACATATATAAATGTCTATTTTGTCAATGTTAATACTTTAAAATTTATTGTTCCGTAAGCAATAAAGCAAGTAGGCTGACATACATATACATATAGCCTGCACATCAATAAAACGTTACGGCAATATTAAAGGTAACACACACTACCTATCGGTACCATAGCATCCGTTAATATTTTTCGGGAAATATCAATTCTTGTTGACCACTGTTGCGTTTCGATTGTATTTAATTAAACGCCATCAATAATGCCGTAACGAGTAGCTTCAAATTCCTGGAAACATTTCCTAGGAACATAATATTTATACAGAAATGCATGCTCTGAAATGCTGGAAAATCGACACTTTTATTTCTTTGTTTCCATTAAAAACAATTTTGCTACATTTGCAAATAAAGGCTAGATACTACTAAAACCTTCCTTTAAAAAAATAAACTTTTAAGCGAGCAATTTTCAACGAAGGAAATGAGAAAATGTCGAGAATTAATGGTCTTTCTCGAAAAAATGTAATACTCAATATTGCACATATTAAATAGGTACATACCCATGGTCGTGAAAACTTTTACTTTAAACAGTTACTCAATTATTATTGATTTTGTATATCATCAATTAGCACTTGAAATTTGAAACATTTAACAGTAAACTAGACGTATTCGAAGTGTTTAGAAGAAATTATTTTTACCGATTGGTGTTGTATTTTCCAGTATTTACACTTAAATACAGCTATTGTTTCACTCCGTTAAACACAAAATGACTTGAAAGGCTTAAGTACCTACGTCCGTTTGTAAACAACGAAGCCGTTAGTTAAGGTTGAAATTTTTTGAATTTTAAACGATGATGTAAATACATCATTCCAATAAAAAATTTTTTGATGATTTGCAATTCACTTTCTATCTCCACGTAAGTAATAAATTATAATAAAGATGGAATAAGTAAAAAAAAAAGAAAATAGATATTCTGATTCTATCGACATGTTAGTAAATGTCTATGTAAATATGCATATTTTATACAATTTAATGGGTAATTAACAAAAACATACAATAATTACTAAAGATAGCTGCTAATCGGTTAAATAAAACAACAATTATTTACTTCCTACAATAAATTGTAAAATTGGTGCTATCGTTGTTTACAAAAGTGAATGTCTAAATGTACTTGGAAAGCACAATCAGTTGTTAACAGAGATACCTATGTTGATAGTCGAGTAGCCGTCATGCGAGGACAAGTGGTGACACCCCAAGGACTGGGAATCGTGGGAATAAGAGTCTCGGTCGACAAGGAATCCCGATTAGGATTTACGCTTACTCGTCAAGGGGGGTGGTAAGCTTAGTTTTTCTCACTCTTTATATTATTAGCCAAAATTGCTTGGACAGAAAACGTTTTTCTTCATTTTCCAAAAAAACTACGAACCTCATAAGATATTCTACAATTGGTTTACTTTTAAGTCCTGAGTAAGGCAGTTACCGTTTGCTTGCTTTCATACCAAATATTATTTATTTGATGACATTGATAACTAGCATTTTTTTAGTAATAATTAGGCATAATTTGAAAATGAATTCCCAAAAGCAACGACAACGGAACTATTAATAAAATTCAGTGGGCTGTCGGTAAATCCTGTTAATCAGAGAGGCCGTAATCTTTCAGAAACAACCCCCTAACTCTTTAATAAATCTTTTGCGTGCTGTGAATTGTTTATTCCGAGTTTCAGGCCGCTTGGTTATCTGTTAAGTATACTAAACTTTAATTGATTCTAAAATTAACTGATCGTGAAGCAAAACATTCTGAATGTTAATACATGCTGTAGAACGAAGCAGAAGAACAACAGCAAGAGAACTAAATCCAATTTCTCTAATAATTTAGTTGCTTCTCTTCTCATTTGTTCGGAATTGTTAATCGCAAAATCTTATTCGGTAAACGTCTCTTTAGAAACGTAACGGGACTTGAGCTAATAGCTTTATCGCGAAACAATTTGATATACAACAAATATATACAAAGAATATGTAGGTACGACTAATTGCATGTAAATTTCACTGCAAACAAACACGTAACACCAGAATTAAATATCAATCCATTCGATTTGCACCACTTATTATTAAAACATTGGGTTTTCGTAAAAAACGTCCATTAAGTAGATGAATTGTATTGAATTAGGTATTACTTTTAAAAAACCGTTGAAATTCATACTTTTTAATTAACACGTGCAACTATAATGACGGAATCAGCTAGTGCTGTTTTCTGCTTTTTCTACACTTATCAACTTATTTGTTGATTAATAATTTAAGTGTCATACTAACATCTATTAATTATGTAATAAGAAGGCAGAGACAAGTCTTTATGCCTTCAAATGTCTATTTACTGTGGGATCCTTATAGAGTAACCCCTAGCGATTATCTAAATTCATATTTAATTAACATAAACGTAATGAAAAATGTAGAGCGTTGTTTCAAATTGAGAATTTGTATTTAAAGTATTCTTTTCCTATCAGTGCTGAGCATTACTTAATTTCGTAAATTATAATGAAAACTGCAACTAAATCGATTAAAAAATAACGGAGTTATTCATTTTTAAAGTTTCCCTTGTTTCTTTGTACTACAACTACAAGTGAAGTGGCGCCTGTTTGTTTATATCCGCCTTGTAAGTGCAATGTGCTGAACTTGACCTAGTTTTAATAAAAATGGCCGACAACGCAATAGCCAATCAAATGGATCGAAGCTATTATAAACAATGCAACTGCATTCCTACGTCAGTATCCCTCGGTGCTGTTGGTCGGTATACTTCGTTGCATCAAATTTTAGGTTATAATTACGTAAAAAAAATTATTTACATAATTAAATTATAACAATAAATGTCTTAAAACGTCTAAAAGCAAGTTAATTTATTTAGAAGTTAATACATCAAGTTTGTATTCTAAAAACATGCTATTTATTTACTACAGTTATAATGTTTACAATTATTACATATGTACTTCTAATTTTATTTTAGGAAGACTAAAATTGAAACTGTTAAGGATATTATTCCTTTAGTAAATAAAAAGCGATTTTATCCTAATTTTATATTTTCTTCATAAATATAT